GCAACCAGCGGTTTGCAACTCTTCAAACTGACAGCACCCTTCTGCAAGAACCCTTGCAGATCCTGAACTCAGGCCGAGCGCCTCGCGCAACTTCAACAAGTCGACAGGGAGCACCAGGACTTGTGCCGTGCCCGGCTATCAACCGGGATGCTCGTTGCATGGAGGGCGCCTGCACGGAGGAGAAGCTCCGACAATTAGAGGCAGAGTTCGCACGCCGCTGCGAAGAGCGCACACAGCAGCTGACGGCAGAACTCGAAAGGACCGTGAATTTCCTCGTCTTGCTTTATGGTGCAGCGTGTGCTGAATTTGACATACAGGAAGAGTCGAACAGAGGCTGAAAGACAGGCGAGGCATGCGCAGTCGGACTAGAAAACCTCATGCTCGTGACAGCACCGGGCGTGAAGGTGGAGGAGAAGACGCGCCGCTTTTGTGAGCAGTTGGAGAAGGAGAAGCCTCCCAGCTGAACAGATTTTGCTGAGGTACAGCCCTAGTCCAGTTATGGTTCTCCTTATCGTGTCTCGCAAAATTTGAGATCGCCCGGGTCCAAGTATCGCATAAATTCTTTAACATTTTGCAGGCCTTATACACACAGGATTCTGCCGTTGTCACTACGACTGTGTCCTCATGCTCGAAGCGGGAGGAGTGCCATTAGAGCCAACAGAGCCAACACCGGAGCGCATTCGAGTGCAGAGAGTAATTTACTGCGGGCAAGAGCTATCATTGCGGGTGGATTGTTAAGTTTTGCCTCCCGGCCGGGAGCTGCAGTATGGCAAACACTATAGACCAAAACACCGACAAGGCATTTTACAACTGCTTGGCAACAGGTCGTAGCTCACTTCCGGCAAATAGTGTAATATTGTCAGATGTCTTTCTGTGTGGTCTTGTCAGTACTTCCGGGCACATTTTGCCAAAACCGCTAGTCATTGTCATTGTTTTTTCCTTCTGGTCTTGTTGGCACACTCGCAGGGTTTGCCAGCCATTCCAGGAATAGCTAGTGCAAGCAATTTAGTTGCCTGAGCCGCTGAGCTGTGGTAGTGTTTGTGCGAACGAGGCTAAACGAGGAAAACACCGGAGTTTTGGGTTTGAGGCCTTTGGTTGGCAGTTTGCTGTCTAATTAGGTTTTAAGGATTTGCGTTTTGGCCTGGGGTATGTATGGCCTGAAAGTTTTGTGGACTTGATCCTGAGTTTTGACTGAAAGTCTGGTGTACCTGACATGGAATTTGAAACTGGTTAAGACTTGATCGGCGTCAAGGTTGCCGTTTTTTGTATTCTGAACGCTTCTCCACTCACTGGCAGTTGCACTCCACCCTCCATGCTAGGGGGTTGTTCGCCAGTTGCTTTTACAGTTTTCTTGTGGGTCCATTGTCGTACGTTGTTGCTATGATGCCTCTAGAAAACATGCTCAGAATATGCAAGAGGGTATACACAGAGAATGCATGGTGCCCAGCAATGCATGGTGCTCAGCGAGGAATCACTGATTAGATTCGCGCTACGCGGTTTTCACGCACCCGAACAAAGCAAAATCACTAGAAAAATCCAGCAGGGGTGTGAGCGCGAGAACCTAATCTGGTCATCGCTGCTGAGGCTATTGCAGATGGAAAAAGAAGTTCAGGAGAAGTTGCGCCCATCATCCGCAGTTCTCGAGCGGGAAGCGTGGGTCGTGCTTGAGAAGGAGGCCAGCTGGAAGCCTTGAGATGTGAGATGCCATGATCCTCCCCATTCATTCGGAGTTGTGACGATGTAAACGAGCTAATTAGCCAAGTATGGAGGCCGAGGAGCGTGTCAGAAGCTCGATCCCAGAGTTCGAGCGGGCGGTGAAGGACGGGCACCAGATGCAATGTTGCTCTTGTAGCATGTTTCCTTTCCGATGCAACCCGTTCGCGCGGATCCTTTGCAGGAGCGGCTGGAAAGGGATGTGGAAGCAAAGGCTTGGATCTAAGCTTTGAGCTCGAAGCGAGAATTGACAAAGTACCTCCGTAAACTCTGAAGTCCGGCGCAACTAGTCCCCAGAGAATTGCTTGAGTTGTTATTCTATGAAGCAGACGACAGTAAGCGCGAGTGAATGCAGGTGACATTTGGAATGCCACGAGTGTGCTCCACCCGACAACCAGCCACCTTTTCGGTAGCTATGTCCGAAATCAGTACGCTTTACCAACTTGCCGTAGCCACACAAAGGGTTTGAGATGCCGGGCACCTAGTTGACCAGCCCTGCGTTTGCAAGGGTTTTCAGTTTTCAGGAAATGGCGCCGAAGCCACGGAGGAATCACTAGGTCACTAGGCGCCCATCCTGCATCGTCTTGCTTGCTGATTCAAACGGGCTAGCCCCGGGTACCAGGACCCGAGTGGGAATTCAGAATCCGCGAGCCATTTGGGCAAAACTCTTGTCCGTTTTGCATCTCGACTCAGCATGACATGTGGTATCGGATTGGTGTACGCTCCCCTTGGCGTTGTGGTCCTTCTTGTTGTGGTTGCCGTTGTCGTCTTCGTGTTTTGTTCTTGTTGCTGCTGCTGCTGCTGCTGCTGTTGCTACTGCTACTGGTACTGCTACTGCTACTGCTACTGCTACTACTCTACTACTACTACTACTACTACTACTACTACTACCATCACCACCACCACCACTACTACCACTACTACTACTACTACTACTACTACTACTACTGACTACTACTACTACTACTACTACTA